TAAAGTCTTTCGTGTGGTTTTTTTTTCACGCCTGGGGACCTGGGCCTTTTGTGCCAGAAAAAAAAAAACATCATCTTTTGACACCGCTGCATAGAAAATCAGTTGTTGGATATTATTTAATGTCGCAAACTAAAATATTTATATTTTTTTCTTGGAGGACATTCCTTGTCCAATTTCCAAAAAAGTTTCCGAGACATCAGTGATCAGAGTTCAGAGTTCCAGACCTTTATTCAGACAACTCCGTATATGTACTCACTCACCTGAGTGAGGCTGAGAGACTGAAGAGGTCAACATGAGGAGTGAGACTTGAAGTTGAGAACTTGAGACTGTGATGCGTTCAAATAGCAATACTAGACAGTTACAAGTTTCAACATCAGTGTAGAAATGACTCGTGGCCATCTTCGGTATTTAGCCGGTATTGAAGTACACACTGCATTGTATGCTAAATACACTATCATACAAGTATAGCCTGTGTCCGTCTGCAGTAATGGATGTTGTAGACCATGCATTGCTTATCTGAAGACTCGAAGAGCAAAGCATACAACCGCTGTTAAAGTTAGTTTACTGCCTTATCATGAGTGCACAGCAGTGCCTGAGACTACTATTGCTTGTATAATGCGTGTGCGGTAGTGCAGAATGTGTTGTACTATCACACAAACGCACACCAGTACCTGAGGACTCCACCATCGCTTGTATACTGTGTGTATTGTGTTGCACAATGTGTTGTACGACCCTATATGTGCACAGTGGTGCCTGAGACGTGTAAACCAGTATCACCGATCTGCAAACTCAGTGCAAAGTAGGTAGCCGGTATTGTAGTAAAAACCTAGTTTACTGCACTACATACCAATGCACCATAGTTTTCCCTGATAGTGTCATACCAATAACATTTATTTGCAAACCAAATAGATGCAGTGCACATTGATTGGCCGGATTTGTAGTACACAATCTACTGTACTATCATACAAGTACACAGTCTGCTGTGCTATTATATAAGCACACAGTGCGACATGGAGTTAGCCTATCAGTGGTGTCGATTTGCAAACTCAGTACAAACTAGATAGCCGCTAATGCAGTGGTTTGCTGGTCTATCATAATTACACACTGGAATTCGATACGACCAAATCCGAGCTGTCCACTAGCAAACTGTGTGCATAGTATGTAGCCTACATTGCGTATGCAATAATATGATCTCCCACAGGATCAGAACTGCACATAAAAAAGCCCGAACTATCAAAGCTTGCATAGCTCGTGTATCGTGGGTTTCTGGTGCACTGTATCATTCCAAGTATCTGATAATACCCGAGACTGCTTCGACTTATCAAATCAGTATTGCCCATATGCAACCCATAGTTCCGCAAGGGCACATATAACCCGGCTCAAGCACACACAAGAAAATAGGCTGCGTGTGCGTATGTTATGTGAACACGACCTATAGTAGCAATACAAACGATGTGCTCAGCAACAGCTACATATCAGGCCATTCTACCACTTTTTAACATAGTCCGATCCTAGGCGTCTGTTAGACGAGCTGCCGAGATGATCTTTAAGTATACATATAATTTGACAAGTACTTGTCTCTTGGCACCTATCTACAACAACAACAACGTGTGTCGCTCCCCTTATTTGATAGATACAACACTATCCTTTTAACCAGGTACCACTGCTGAGCCGGGGAAGGGGGCACTGTCATCTTATCAACAGCATTGTCAGTTTGTATAGGCTGTTGTGCGCAGCCTACACACGTGAGTCTGTAGTACGAATGTGTGTATTAAAGCGACGCCGTGCAGATATTCTGAAGTGTCAACAGTCTTCGGTCGGTTGGTGGACGCGACTTATAAAACGCACCATTTGATGCCTTACAAGACCGCAACTGGTTTGTATACTCCAACAATTGACGATTGCTTACTCCAATAATTGACATAGTTAAATAAAGTGCAGCTAAAGGCTTCCGCGTGCAACTTCCCTTACATGGTAGAATCAAAGTTTCCTAATTTCAGGACAAAAATTGGTCTTGCATAAGCCTTGTTCCTGATATTTGGGCATACCTTACAATACATCTCTATCGAATTGCCCTCATCCCAGGACAATAATATAGGTCATATAAGCCTCAGAGTGCCAGTCCCTTTCTTTCTGGAATTCGGACATACCTTCCAATACACTGATCGAAGTACACTCTCATTCCAGGACCATAAAATGGGCCAAATAAACTTCAGAGTGCCATATACTGGCCGAAAAGCCTCACTCCAGGACAATAAAATGGGTCAGACAGTCCCTTTATTTCTACAATTGGGGCATATATATTCATAACAGCCCAGCCTCGTCCTGTCGCGTGCGCGCCCGCATGGCCACCTCTCGGAGGTGCACAATCACAGGCTAAAGCAAAGCAGAGACGAACAACTGCACGCGAGCACCAACTCGCCTTCTGTTACATATGCGTACTCGAAATGTTTTATACTGTCACCTTGTATCTGCATCGCCGTCTTCATCCATTTGTCTCGCATCGGCTGTGGCGTCTACCTCCATAGCGTCGTCGTGTGTGTCTAAGTGAGTGTGCATATTCGCTTCGGATTCCCACGAATCCGGTATCGTGTCTGGGTCTTCTGTATTTTGATTGCTGCTCGCTGTTGTATGGTATGTCAATCGGAAAAGAGGCGATTGAATGCCATGCGTATCTTGCCTCACTCAAAGCATATATATATATATATAAATATATATTTAATCACATAGGTGATGCATGTATGTGCATTCTATAGTAGTTACTTAGCATTTGTAGCTGAGCATTTACAACCATATATTCTAGGTAAGTGGACTCGGTCGTGCAGATGAAAAACAAATTAAGACGCAGAAGTAGCTTAGCAGATCATGTGGTCACATTCTCTGGTACACACCTACGGATTGTATTGATGCAAATCTCATCAACAACTTACATCTCAAGCATATGTTCTTGAAATATAAGATGTCGATGAGTTTTCCATCAATTCTACACCACGTATACTGGCGCACACACCTGTATTTGCGGTTGTACCACTACCCCCAGCGAAAGGTATAGGCAAATCCGGCTCCTCATCGTCATCATCTTCGTCTTCGATTGTGTTACTATTGGCAGGCTTTACGGATTTATCCTGTGCAAATACGTATCCATTCCCAAACATATGAGAAGTGAAGCGCCCCTCCCCCCCCGGGCGACACACAGCTTCAAGGGATGAACAATTGCCACCCACCCACACATTAAGCGTTTGAAAGGAGACTAGAAGTGTGGGGTTCCCTGGACTACTCAGAATGATAAGATATACCTGTACATACTGAATATATAGGAATACTGAATATATACTGAATATATAGGTATACTGAATATATAGGACATGTACGATAGTAACATTGTAGGATGACTTAAGGCGGCAGGTGCAAGCGACATACCATTGCGACATAATTTCTGTCCGTGCTCTTCGTCAAGTCCCGATCTGCATTGATGAACGCGGGCAGGTTCCGCCTAATGAGAAAACGCAGTACATCATCAGTAAAACTCGGTTTACTATCAATAAGTTTATTGCCAGTAAAACTCAGTTTATTTTCATTAAAATTATGGCTATTATAGTTCAAAAACAGTGTGGAGTTGTGCTTAATTCAGTTTACCATCATAAAACTAAAGTTTGACATAGGTAAAAACAGTGTAGAGCTGATCTTCGTAATATCAGAGTCACTATACGATCGACTGTCCGTTTTACAAGCGAGTTGTTAAAAGAGAAAGAAAAAAAACGCCCACGTCAGAAAGATTCGATGCGCGCGCACTCATTAAAACGACATAGCACACACCCACAAACACCCACCGGACGTTTGCAACACACCTCTTCACTGCCTTGATCTCCATGGTCATCGTTTTATCATTGAATTTGTCCCAATTGCTCATCTTGGCCCAGAAATCTCGTTCCACCAACGCCAGATCCACGCGCCGTTTGAGGCCCATTTGCTGCGGCGGTCTCTTATGGAACTCTACGCCAATAAAGTACACTGTTCGGTACACCACCTCCTCTGCGCCTGTTTCGGCATTCTCGTCCCCTTCAACCGGTGCAGACGTCCTTGATTTGAGGAAGAACCCTTCCGGTAAAGGGCAGGCGTCGCTGATTTCACCCACGCGCTCGAGAGAGGATACGAACACGCGTATCCTGGCTTCTATTAGACCCTCCCTGTGGGTAGATTAGGGAAATGGGAAAGAGGTATGGATGTAATTGGAACAGCTCTCATAAGGTATAACACGTTGGTTTGACGCGATCATCCCAAATGTCTCTAAACAGTGATATATATATATATATACACACGCACACACGCACACAACATATATATATATATGTACGTATATATATATGTATATATATATATACATATACAAATATAATATATATATATATATATATACAATATCTAATAATTAACCAATGAACATACCACAGGTGGTGGTCCACTTCATTGCTGGCTATGGCGTCTATCCTAATGTAGTGTTTGTATCGCTTGAAGAACTCTGTGCGCATGAATAGTTCCTCCCACTGCGTTGCGCCGTTTTCGACATGGTCCGTAATGAGTACACCTGCAGAGGCGGACGGTCACCAATAACAACGACTCTCACTTAGCACACACACTGGAGCAGCTACGAGAGCTTATCATATCTACACCACGTGGTGAATAAAGCGGCCGCAGAATACGTGAAGGGTAGTCATCTAGACTCTGGTGTCTGAGTGCATTGCCTCAGAGAACGGCTACTGCAGTGCCCAAACAAATAGATTAGGGCCAGTGGGCCCGGGGGAACCCTGTCCTAGTCCAGTTTTTTTAGGACACGGGTTGGGACAAAGCTAGCTGCGCACGCAGATTTGTCTCAAAGACACACGACAAGGGCCTATTCAATGAACCATGCACCCATAACAACAGGACAGGACAACTCAACGAACGCCAATACCACGCACAATGCAGCCATACAGATGAGAAGACCGCACACAGACCCACCCCTCAAACACTCAACCAATGACAGTCGGCGACTAACGCTAACGACAAACAAACAACAAACAACACACAAA